TTAACTTGCGGAAACTGGATTACAGGAAGTTGAACCATGGCAATGAATAACATGGCTTGGTGTAATTTTCTTTCTCTAAGACAGTGTTTCTCAACCTTGGCCACTTTAAGATGTGTGGACTTCAACTCCCAGAATTCCCCAGCCAGCCATGCTGTATAGATTGCTGGCTGGGGAATTCTGGGAGTTGAAGTCCACGCATCTTAAAGTGGCCAAGGTTGAGAAACACTGTCTTAGAGAAAGAAAATTACACCAAGCCATGTTATTCATTGCCATGGTTCAACTTCCTGTAATCCAGTTTCCGCAAGTTAACTCTGATAATGACCAAAAGGAAATGATGGTCTGTTTGCCTTTTAAAGCAAACAAGCCCATGTGGGGGGCCTAAACTGATTCCATTTCTGCTGGAAGGAGAAACTTAAATGCAAAGTCAATCCATACAGCATATGCCAGTATATCCAGGGTTGGAAGATGCTTCTCCAAAACTGATTAAACGATGCTCCCAGTTGTGTAGGATTTGAGCATTCTCCAATGACACTTGGTAGATATTTCAGGCCAGACCTTCCAAATCAAGCCAGGTCAGCCCCCATCTGAGGTGAGATGGCTAAAACCTCATGAGCCTTAAAGTTCTCCCAATATTGCAAGTTCATTTTAAAGCCATCTTTAGACCAGGTATCTAAGACAGTGGCCAACCTTGGCTTTTCAAGAGAAAAATGACCCTCCCCAATCTCAAGCAGAAAAACGGCATCATTCGTTCACACCGTTGAAAAGCAGCAGTGGATTATTAAGTCACCACCACCCCATAATTTTCAATAACCAACAGGAGGATCTGGTGTATTGAAGGGTTGTCCCAATTTTGGAAACCTCCAGTTGGCCAACTATGCAAGGATGCTCACACTAATGGGGAAAGGGGAATTTGGTTACTTCTTCACCTCAGCTATCCAGAGATGAGGCTTATGGCCAGGAGCGACTTTTATCTCCCCAAATTTTCCCATTTCTCCCCCAATCTGCACACATCAAGATGACCTCTTCCCACTACAACAAGAGCATCAACTGTGCTTCTCCAATACAAGACCTAGGACTGGGGTTAACTAAATGAAAAGCAGATTTCCAGACATCTTCTTCCAAGCCAAGGAGTTCAGAAACCCTCCCCTTCAAAATATTTTTTTTTTTTTTTTTTAAAAAGGAAGAATGAGGCTGCAGCTTGCTCAAATGTCAGGCCTTACGCTGTTGGAAAAGCTGAAGAGACCCTTCGGGAATCAAGGCTCCACACCAGCGTGCAAACAGGAATGAGTGCCCACACGTTCCAAAGAGGCCCAGTTCATAATACCACATTGAAACCATACAAGGTCCTTCTGAAAAGCTTAATAAATAAACGTTCAATATTTATATCTAGGCATAAGACTATATATATATATATTCCACACTTGAAGAAGAGTCCTCTACAGTCTTCATTTGGTTTGGTTGTCAATCACTGGCACGCAGATTCAGGACTGGCTTTTGGGCACGGACGTTAACCCAGTTAAGAGTTTTGGATGTGTATGGCCACGCGGGGACCAGAAACAAACTCTTGGGTATTTAATGTCAGTTAAAAGTGAGGCACCAGAACTAGAAGCTATCTTCCACTTCTAATCACTCCACTTTCCAATCAATAAAAAGGGCCATGTCATCCTGGGGCCACTCAGCCCCCTTCCAATTCTAATACCAAGCCACAATCTAGTTGTTCATCCCCCGTTCTTACAACGCCGTCCGGATCCATCCCCTCCCCAATAATTACAGCTCTGAAAGAGGTGGCTACAGTTTTATTTTTTTCAACGCGCCCATAAAGCAAGGTGGGAAGGCGGGGATAATTTCCCAGAAGAGCACATGAAAGATTTCTGCTCCACTTCTCAAAAGAAAACAAGTCCAAATGCAATTCCCAAGGGCAAAAATGCAACGGTGGGCAAATCTGAAGAATTGCTGTCCACCACGCGTGGATGCTCGGCCGGGGAGTTCATCGGCTGCTTCCAACCCAAACAGTCTTTTTGAAGAAAAAAAAAAGTTGCATATTTGTAATATCCTCAAATTCGATGATTGAAGGATGGTCTGTAGTCCATCACGCTGCTACGACTGATCCAGTTTGCCATTTAAATATTTCTCCACATTCTTCCCGCTGATCAACAGGCTCTTGGAATCCAGTATCTGTGTGGCTGGTCATCATTTTATTTCTAATGCGCATGTTTCTAGTGGTTTATTTATTTTTTTTTTCCTTTTTAAAGCAACAGGCCTTCATAGAAATTTGCCCCAGATAATATCACTGTCACTGATAGTGGAATGGTATCCTGAAGGGACACACGTTCTTGGAAGCCACGATCCCATTCCAGATGTGGAAAGTCTCAAAGCAGCATCATAGTCTAAAAGACTATGCGTTTTCTCCATCTTCTGAAGACGAACTGCCAAACTGCATTCGCACTCAGGGTGTCACGCCAGCCTCGAAGCAGCCTCACATGCCAACTGAAGTCACAAGAGAAATCAGGGGGGAAAAAATCATAGTAAAGCTTGAAAGGGGGCAAAATGCCGGTTGAAAAAATAGCAGGTTTGTCTGGTCTCTAGTGGTTTTCCAAATTTAGCAAGTGGATTGCAAAAAGGGTCAGGGAGGCAAGGGGGAATGCAACAGGGGTTGAGAGTATGCAAGGGGGAAATTAAAATAAAAACCAGCTTCTTCGCCATCTGCTACAAGGCGCTGGTAGAAGTCACAATGGAGCAGCCTTATGGAGTGACATCTCCAGCTGATGGATGTGGCTTCTGATTTTGGGCCTCGAGTCTCAGAAGCTCCCTATTAGCCGACTTTTCTTGCTCCTTCTGGGGCCACCTTCTTCCTGGAACTTCTTCTGCGGTTCCATATTGCAGGTCTCCACGAGCTTGGGCTACTCCCAGATGACGTGGGACCATCCGGGTCCAAGAGAATCCTCGTTCTGCTCAGGAGGGCGATGCGAAAGGACTAAGGTAGACAGCTGGGCCCTCAAATTCCCGTCAAGAAGGGAAGGTGTTCAGTGGCTGGGCAAGATTTCCTCCCTCTCTCTCTCTCTGTCTCTCTCATTCCAGGGCACCATCTTGGGCATCGCTGGGGCTCTTCCATCTCTGTGGGCCTCCAAAATCTGTTCGCAGAGAAAGACGCAGGGTCAGCAAGACGTGGTAGCCCTCAAAGTGCTTCCATCGCGTTAGGGTACCTCTGCGCCACCATCTCTGCTCTGTCTCCAAGGGGCAGGGAGGTACCGTCCCAAAGTTGGGGCTTGTCGGACACCTCCTCAGTCCTTGCACGTGTAGACCTCCTCCCTCTGCGTACACTGCTTGCATTCCACGTAACAGCACCAGCGGACCTGGCATTGGCACGGACGGGTGACCACCCGGCTTTGGATGTTATGGCCTCGCCCGCAGCAGATGCTGTCACAGTTCTTGTCTTTGTAGCATTTCCGGCCGGACGTGCCCGAAGAAAACCGGCTCATCAGGCAAAAGCTCGGGGAATCGTCGAGGTAAACCAAGTCGGTAGTCCTGGGGATCTGGTCGCCGTGGCCCGGAATGGATTTCTTCGGCGGGGAGATGTCCCCTTCTCCCGTGGCCTCATTGGTAGTGCTCACCACCTTGAGGGCCATCTCGTACTTCTGCTTCAGCTGCTTGCCGATCTCATGGAACGGAGAGAGCTGACGCCAACACGTCCGGACGGTGCAAGAGCCTGAAACCCCATGGCATTTACAGGTGGTCTCCACTCCTGCTTTGATGACCTGCAGATAAGGAGCCCAAATGAACCATTGAAAGACAAGCAGATCATATAACAAAATGTTACTACGCCCAGGTTTAGCATTCCAGACGATCAGCCGTCCCCTTCTCCCGCTGGCTTTCTATTCCCCACCGTCTGTAAAAATCAAAAGTCTATGCCCGCTCACTGGCTTACTTTTTCTAAATCTTTCTTTTCCTCTATGGTGCCAAACCTCAGCTGCAGGCATGGAGTTTGACCCTGAGTTGGGAGTGGACTAGACCTCTCTAAGGTCTCTCCCAATTTTAGGATTCTCCAAGCTTTCCAGTCTGTTGGCTACCAAAGGCTGAGACAGATATCGTGTGGATCAGCACCGACATGCCTACAAAATCCAAAGGATCACATGGTCTGCCTGGACTTTTCAGCATCTCATACAAAATTCTTCCTAGCTACCCCTTTCCTGCTCCGTGCAAGCCCCCCCCACTCTCATTTTCTCTTGTTAAAAGGGGGTAATTTCCTCCCACTTGCTGGCAGAGTGAGAAATTACGAAAACAAGAGTGAGTAAGGCCTCCATTTGCATACTAATTTGTGTCTAATCAATCGGGCGATTGAATTAACTCCTTTTCTAAATTAATGCCAGCAGCAAGGGCGACAGACTCAGTGACAGAGGCGATGGGGTCAGCGTTGGGAGACCTGAAAGAACAGGTTAGGGATAGATCATCATGGAGAAAATCTGTTTATGTGGTCGCTGGAGTTGAAAACGACTTGATGGGACATCATCAAAACATAACCTAACCCAAGAGGGTTAATCCGTGCCACACACTAAATGCGACAGCAAATTAACCAAGCTTTGCACGGGTAGAAAGCCAACTGCTGGTTTGTCCCTGACCTGGGTTAAGCATGTTGTATGAACCCAGCCAGAGACAAGCCGTCTCCAAACATTGGTGGCTGTCGACATCTTAAAACAGCAAAGCGGATTTGAATCACGTGACGATGAATATAAGCTGACTTAAGATCATGGGTTTGTGAAAAAAAAAGAAAGCCATAATGCAGACTGGTTTTGGACCTGGATGAGCCGATCCACTGGTTCTGCGCAAGCTGGGGCCAAGAATTGTGCAGGTGGAAAAGGTCCCAGGACCTGCCGAAACAGCTGTTGCGTCTTGCAAGCTTCTTGGAGTTTCAGACAGGCATTTTTGCCTCTCTGTGAGAGACCGGGGGAGGCTGCGTGGGCCTGACCCCTGCCCGTATTTCCAGATCTGCAGCAAAGAACAGAACTGTCCTCGCTTACCAGGACTTCCCCCCTATTTAATAATGGATCGCTGGCATTCAGACCAAGATCCCCTTCATCGGAAACCAACCAGCAAGGAACTGAGAATGGACAGTCTGGAGATCTTAATTTGTGCTCAAGAACAGCATCCTTTCGCAGAAGCGCCTAGACTTTTACGACAGGCCTCCTCCAGCGGGGACCCGGCTCTTCTAGGGATTAAGGAACTTAGCAACACTCCTGAGCGATGCAGTTGGAAAGTCGGGTTTAGTGAGGCTTACGAGAAACCCGGCAGGGAGGCAACGCTCCTTCTTAATTAAAACTTTTCTTAAACTCAGGCCTGGCAGAACAAATCAAGTGACCTGATGCACCTGACTTTTCATCCATGGGACACAAACGGAGAGTGCAAATCGAGAAGGGAGGAACTGAGAAATAAAGGGAAGCATACGCAGAGAACAAGGAACAGAATGGAAGACAGTCACTGTGTTTCATATCCACCAAGACTCTAGAGGAAAAGGTCTCTCGTTTCTCATTTTTCCTGCCCCCTAATCTCCTTTTCTCCCTCCACCAGGAGCCTACCCCAAACAGCTCAGATGGAAAGGGAAGGAGACAAAATTGCTTTTTTAATCAGACCCATATTCCAAGGCTCCCCCCCACAGCCCTGCCGGGGAACCCATAAAGCAAAAATGGGTTTGGAGAAGCCCCCTAACTAATGACCTCACTTTCCATGCCAGACCATAAACAGATGGGGGTCAATACCCTGGCTGCCAGCTTGCCACCTTGAGACCACGAATGTGCAAAAAGGAGAGTGCAGGAATCCATCAAGAAGTTTCTCGCAGCATTTTGTTAATAGGTACAGGGAAAAGTTGGCATTAGAAAAGCTGCATCGTCCAAGGAGGATTTATCATCGCAGAGCTCAGAGAGCAGAAACAGATCTTGTCCAGGGGAAGCAAAGCAATGTTGTTTCTTGCTAGTTAATTCAAAAGCCTGGGGATAGAAACCTATCTATCAAGAGGCTTACCAAACTGGTCAGTATCAAGGGACTTACCAGATTGGCAGCATTTGCACAAATAATATTCCATATTGCTGAGAAATCCCCAAGCTGGTGCTTGGGGAAAAAAGATCTGAACAGCCCAATGGCAAGCAATCTCTAGTTTTTAAGTAATGCAGTGAATAGAAAACAGAACAGTACTGCTATGCAGGTAGTCCTCACTTAACAACCATTCATTTAGTGACTGTTTGAAGTTACAACAGTGCTGAACAAAGGCACTTACAACCGGTCCTCACACTTACAACCATCGCAGCACTCCCACGGTCATGTGGCAACCAGCTCGCACTTACAACAGTTGCAGCATCCCAGGGTCACGTGATCACCATTTGCAACCTTCCCAGCCAGTTTCTGGCAAGCAAAAACAATAGGGAACTGCATGATTCGCTTAACGACAGCGTGATTCGCTTAACGGCATGGTGATTTGCTTAATGACCGCTGCAAAAAAGGTTGTAAAATTGGGCGCAACTCACTTAACAACCACCCTGCTTAACAATGAATTTTCTGGTCCCTATTGTGGTCATTAAGTGAGGACTACTTGTAATAAGATTTACTCATTCCATTGCAATGGAAGATGCCACCTCAAAGGTGAGAACAATGGAACGAAAGTGGTAGAATGCAATGGCCTAATTCTGAAGATGGGCAAAGCAAACACAAAATGAAAAGGCTTCTGCCCTGGTGCCCTCAACTGTGTTTCAATCCCACAGTTATACCCAAGTCGCCACAGGAAATCTCTCTCTAGAAACTCAAGCCACACTCAAGCTGTGGTTGGAAAGCCAAGGGACAAGCAATGTCCAATGGACAAGCCAATGGACAAGCAATTTTTATTGCAGATATTTTGTTGCAATAATATTTATTGCAGTAATGACGAAGATTTCTCACTCTAGGCACAAATGACCAGACTCAAATGATCCTACTTCAGACTCATCATGAAAAGACCCAACTCTCTGGAGAAAGCTCTGATGCTGGGAAAGGTGGAAGGAAAGAGAAGAAGAGGACCAGCAGAAGGTGGATGGACTTGATTACAGTAGCCATGGTTGTACCATTAGAAGACTTGAAGGACCAGGTTGTGGACAGATTGTCCTGGAGAAGGTCTACCTATGTAGTTATTAAGAGTCAACATTGACTTGATGGCACATAATTAATCCATAAATGATGAAGATTAGCTGTATAAAGAATCTAGCCATGCATGTGTTACAACATTTCTTTCTCCTGCTCTTTCATCATAGTGGGGGGTTGGCCACCTTTTTCTCAGACTGGATTTTTGGTGGCCCCAGCAATATTTACCTAACAGCCTTCTCCAATCCCAGGGTCCTTGTCCCCAAACCTCGGCAGTTCCAACTCCCACACCTGATGCCTTCCAAATGTTCCAGATTGTACAATTCCCAGCTGAGAATATTGGGAATTGGTCATTCCGTCTCTCTCTGGTGCTCCACTCTGCTCTTTCCTACAGGACCTGTCCTCCACAGCTACGTTCTACCACCGCCGTGAGCCCTTACCTTCATTCCAACCAGGTTGTTGTGGAAGTCCACCCGAGCTCGCAGATCCTTGTTCGACTTCTTTCCGAGGAACTCTTTGACAAACTTGTTGCTGTACTTGAGATTGTCCCCACATCCACCCCATTGCCAAGCTTCGCGGTTCTCCAGGTCGGGGGCTTCATCGCAAGTGCAGCGTTCCATGCGCCCGGCGCTGCAGGCCTTGGCCATAGCGTGGGTCAGCCCCGCCGAAGAGATGGCGTAAAGGAAGGCGGTTTCCTTAAACCCTGTGGAGAAAGACAGCCACGCCATTAGCGCTACGGGGAGGTGAACCCCGTTGAAATCCCAAGAGATGCCCACATAGGACAATTTTTAGCTGCGACAAAAGGAGGAAGGTGCATCTGACTCATGGTTCAGAGGATGAGGCCTCTCCGCCTGGTTTTAAAACTAGGTTCAGGTTTCTAGCCTTTCCTGGTGGAAGAATGGGCTTGAAAGCAGGAAGCTGAAAGAAGGTTTGCTGAAACAGGGGCTGAAATTTGCTGATTCACCCAGTGGTTAGCAGACAGGAATCAGGCAAACATGTATTTCCTTGGGTTGCATTATTTTTATAAGAATCATTCACACCTCTGGTGTGTATATCTCTCATCACGTGCCCCCTCGTCCACCTGAAGCTACAGAAACGGGATTCCCAGGATTGTCCCATCCTTCCCCAAACACCAGATGTGTCCCGACTGCAATGTCAAGAATTTCCAGCGAGCGCAGCCAAAAGTTACCCTCCCTCTTTGGTGGGATCATTCTGCTCTATAAATCTGTCATCCTCACCATCTCCTGAGACAAAGGTGGCGCAAACCTGTCTATCCACCAAAAAGGGCAAAGAAGGAGCCAAGCAGAGAGATCAGCAGCAGCTGCCCACCAACGCCAAGGGAGGGGTGCTCCCCGACAGTATTGAAAGGTTAATGGACCCAACTGAGTTTTTGGCCTTCTGCCCCCATCTGGCCCAGAAAAGCGCCATGCTCATAGTCGTCGTTTTCCCCAATCTGACATCTCCCAAATATGCTGAGCTAGGACTCCTAGTTTAGGAGGTAGGAATCCTGGGGATTGTAGTCCTGGGCACATCTAGAAGACCCTACCTTGAAGAAGATGAATGCTAAGATATTTGGGTAAACCTCTAGGCTCCAGGTTGGCATTTACCCTTCTGTAAGGGGCTGTGAGAATGACCTTGGGAGACAGGAGGAAGAGCCACAGCTTAGACAGTGGTCTGATAAGAGACATCTCAGCCCACAGAAGGAATGGAGGTGAAGAAAGCACCTCAGAAGGGACCCTCCCTAGTTCTCTGGAGAGTAAAGGCAAGGGAGGGGAGAAGTGCTTTCAGACTTGCAAGAGTCGGTGACTGTAACCTTACAATAAAGGTACTAATACTACAATAAAAGTATTAGTACTCATGGCTTGGGTGTCCTGTCTGGACTACCTTGCAGGACTGACACCTTCTCGGAAGCTTCAGAACCTTCTTGGGTCCCCTAATCAGTCCCCCTCCTCAATGGATGCATTCAGAGAGTTCAGTGTCCAATGTGCCCCCACCTCCTCCTGGCCGAGGCCTGCTGCCAGCCCTTCAAGGTAGACCAGACTAGGAAACCCAAGTCATGCAGGCCAATATTACTGTTATTATAAAGACAGAGTAACAGAATCTTGCAAGTCTGAATCTGTTTCCCCACTCCCTCCCTTTATCTTCAAGAGAACTACAGAGGGTCAAGTCTGAGACACTTTCTCAGGTTACAGTTCTGGCCTGGACTCAGATTTCTTTTATCTGACCATTGTCTTGGTAGCAGCTCTTCCTCCTGTCCCTCAAGGCCATTCCCTTGACCCACGACAACTGCTGACGTCAATGGGGTTACCTTACTCTGCATGATTATGGTCCATCTCCAAATCCCAACCAGCTCCATAGCAATGAATGCTCAAATTCTGCATGTTACTGTGGAATCTTCCAACTCTCCCTGTAGGCGCTTGGCTACTCCTTCTCCACTCACCCCTCTTCAGCAGGCTGGCTCTGTAGCGGCCCTCGAGGGTGCAATTCCACCTCTCAAAGCGGAACTGATACTGGCATTCCAGGGCACTCATGCTAATGGCCTCCATGAGGGTCTCAGCCACGCCCGGGTCTCTCCGGCACATCCTACGCTGCTTCTTTTCCAGCTTCAGGCGGTCACACACTTTGTAGTGGGCTTTGATAGCGGCTTCCTCCATTTCTGAGGTGAGAGGGAGGATGGTCAGAGGTTCAGTCCCCGTCAACCTGGGGAGGGAAAGAAGGTGGGACGGGTCATCAGAAGAGCATTGCTAGATGAGATGGGCCCAAAATGTCCTAGCTCTACTTTTCAAAGAATGGTATGTGACGACAGCATGGCTGTTCCTGTAGGAGTGTCACAGAAAGGGTAGATTAGACCAGTGGTGTCCAAAATGGGGTGCACAAACCCCAGGAGTACACAAGACAATCTACTGGGTGCAGAAAGAAACTATTAGAATATTACTGATTTCACCTTCATCTCATCCTTTTCTGTTTTGTGGGGTATGTTCTGTAATGTACAGAATGTATTAATACTGCCATATAGGTATATAATTTATAAATAAATCAACCCACATAGATTGGAGGGACATGCTCAAAAAATATTTCCTGATCAGGGTGCGCAGTCAAAAGGGTCAGACTGCTGGATTACAGAACTGCTGCAAAACACTTTAGCATGATCTACTACACTTTTGTTCAGACAACACATTTAACTGGGTTAATGACACAAGCATGTTATGCACACGCCGTCACATAATCAGCAAAGTGTAGGGTTAGTTTTAACTCAAGGTAGCTCTGTTTTCATCCTGGAGAAAGTCTACGCAGTAGCTAAGGGTTGACATTGATTTGATGGCATTTTATCTATCAATCAGTCTTGACTGGCTGTGAGTTAAATCACCCTCCCACCCATGTTGTGTGAATATCATCTTCAGGTCTCCAGCTGCTTAGTCAGACCTCCAAGAAAAAGAGTTGGATGGCTAGAGTGGCTGGGGGGGGGGGAAAGGACTTGTTTCTCCATTATGGAACTCTTTTGCCAAGGGGTGGAAAACCACTCCCAAACAGTGATTGGCTGCAGTGCCCAAGCCACACCCACTACCCCCTTCTTAGCCAATAGGGAAGGTGATTGTGATATCAGGCGCTTCTTGGAATCAGCGGGTGGAGATGATGGACTTCCAAAGAGAGGAGCAATGACCCAGTTAGTGTTAATGTGTGTTGCTGGCAGCAACCAGGTTAAATGGTTTGTGCAAATAATCCATGTCAGCAATGACGATATTAAAATAAAATTATTTTCTGCCGTTACGGGTCAGACGTCCTCCTGGCAAGGCAGCTTTCAAGGCAAACAAGTGAAAACCCAACAGGAGAACTTTCGCTCACACTCCTGCCCTGCCTCGGCCACAGGACTCGCGCTTCTCTCCTGCACAGGCGTGCAAGGAAGCCAGGGTCTTGCACACAACTCCACGCCCCACGGGGCTGCACGGAGGTCAAGCGGTAACGCTGGAGAGGTTCCCACTGGGAAGACTAACCCGTTTTTCTGGCTTGGCTGCCTGGAGCTTCCAGATCGTCTTCCAGTCAGGGGCTGGGTGGGCAGAGAGTCAGTAAAAATATAACTGTATCAGAACTTGGGTAGGTTTCCTTGGGGGAAACCCAGAAACGGCCCTTTGTGCCAAAACAAGAAAAATCCAACCCTTAAAAAGCCAGAAACTTCGATGGAAAAAAGACACATCATCACGAAGTCCCCCCCGCCCAACCAGCCTTCCTTCGCTGCAAGATAGTCTTGGGCTAAATATATTACAAGGAGATCAGGCCAGTGAAGGGCATACAAACAGAATGGAACAGCCTCCGATTCAGATGGGCTGCCACCCGCTGACCCACACCGAACCCTGGAGTCTGAAGGGATCCCAGAGGTCATCTGGTCCAACCCCCGGCCAGGGCAGGATCCCTAAGACACGAGGCTCTCTGTTCCCCAAAAAGAAGTCGATTCCTGCAAAGAGCAGGCTTGCTGTTCTGCAGGCCACAGCTTGGTGGGGGTCAACACACCAGGCCCCACGGCTTTACGGAAAAAGGGTGTCCCTGAGTCGCCGTGTCTCTTTTTCAGAAAGTGGAACCAGAGACGGGAAGGCGATCTGTCTGTTTCACGGCTTATTGGCCATGGTCACCGCAGCTAATTCTGAGCAGCTTACATGTCTCTGATGCAGAACTGCGATAAAAAAAAAATGAGATCAACAGACTCCACCGTAATGACATCCCCGTGCACCAAGGAACCCTCAAAGCCAATTGGACAAACCTTCACCCTGTGGATGGACTGTGCCATATCAGCCCCCAACGCCTGTTGGAAGAGCCAACCTTAATGGCTTTTCTAAAACCCAACAGGATTGGGGTCAATCTGATCTTAGGGGAATGCTGTTCTGAAGAAGGGGGCCGCCGTTGTGGTCCCTGCTGAAGGCACTCCTAGGGGGACAGACCTGGAAGGACCCCACCCTTTGTGATGGGCAGACAAGCAAGGGATCTTGAAGACACCCAGATCCCATGCCACCCGTTGAAGCGATGCAACCAATTTAGATGTTTTCAAGAAGGGGACCGGAACAGGTTCCTGGAGGAGCAAGCTAATCCTGATCCTTGTTTTGACCTCTCGAATTCTTAGCCACGTGTCTTAAATACCTTTGCTCCAAAGAGACAATAGAAAGAGGCAATTATCCTCCAGCCCACATTCATGAGCTTCCCAAACACATCCTGTTGGCCCCTGGGGGCCAGCCTGCTGGATTAGCCGAGCAGATGACCTGATCCTGCAGGACAGTTCCGAGGCTCTTAACCCAAGGCTTTGTCCATGGTTTGAGACTCTGGGGTGGCTTTGGGCTTTCATGCAACTGGAAGCAGGAATGAGAAAGGAAGAACAAGGGATCATCCGAGGTCACGGGGTGTTAGAGATCCACCGGAGGTTGCCGGCCACAGAGCTCTTCTCCCCAGCCTTGGCACGATGGCGGTCGGGAGTCTCCAGCCAAAGTGCCAGCCAAGGACGATCGTTTTCCCCTGAACCTCCGGGTGCAATCCAGCCAGAGGTTCCCACCCAAGGATTCCTGCAGATAACAGCTGTGTCTGAGGGCAAGACCCACACTAGACCAGCAGCATATCTTGGCTTGAGGGAGGGACACGTTTCTCGAGTCGGGATTGTGGGTTTTTCATCCCTAGCCACCACCCTGTCTTAAATGCATTCCACCCTGTTTCAACACCGGCTTGCAGCTTTAGCAAAACAAACCGATCGGCAACGAGGAAGCCTGCACGGATTTTCTGAATGTCATCTGCAAGGATTGCCTTCTGAGCCCACCTTGGAAAGATCTGTACGTTTTGCCTCTCATACGCCTGCTTTCCTGTGCTTTGACCCAGAGAACTGTGTCATTCATAAAACAGGGACTCTACTCACTCTGAAGCTCTGTGAATTAGCAATAATCTTTACGCTAGTGATTGATAGAGACAGGGGGAGGAGAGAGAGAGAGATGATTGATTGATTGATTGATAGATAAGACAGACAGATAGATAGATAGATAGATAGATAGATAGATAGATAGATAGATAGATAGATAGATACTGACAGACAGATGTGTAGACAAGTAGACAGATAAAAGTAAGACCCAGTTTAGTGTAGTGGGAAAAAGGTGCTGGATTAGAAGCTGGAAGACCCTGAGTTCGAGTCCTGCTTTAGGCATGGATCCAGCTGGGTGACTTTGGGCCAGTCCCTCTTGCTGAGCCCTGGGAAGAAGAAGGCCAGGCCCAACCACATCTGAAAATATCGCCAAGGGATTGCAGCAACATCATTATTGTTGATATTATTGAGAGCCATTTTGGTACAGAGCAGTGTTTCTCAACCTTGACCACTTTAAGATGGGTGGACTTCAACTCCCAGAATTC